ATAGCATTCAAAAATTCAGCTTCACTGGAATGAAATGGAACTTGGCTCAATGGGAAAGGAATCATCATGTTTTTTCATAGGTGCTTGTGTGTGTGTGTGTGTGTGTGTGTGTGTGTATGTTCACGCATGTATAGGTGCATGTAGGGGACCAAATATGCTGAGAAGAGAACCCAGGGCCATTTTTGGGGTAACCAAGAAGCACTTTGCCACTGAGCTGGGTCCCTAACCCCTTAAGGCTTAATAATATTAAGAATTGTTAAAAGTGCTTGTTTTTAACTTATGAACTGAGACTTAAAAGTCCCTAGTGTGAATGCACATTCCAAACCATAACTCCAAACATGGAGCAAGTGTTCCTTATCTCTTAATTACATGGTGGTGTCCCAGGTGGTGACAATGAGGCCATGCCTTCTCTTTCTCATGCTACCTGTCTCTTAATGAGACTAACCTGGGATTATACTCTGGACAAGAGACTTTTAAGAATTTGAAAGTAAAATCTTTGAATCTTTGAAGCTGAGACCTAAGCCAAAAAAAAAAAAGTTCCTTGTAACCTTCTGTGAATTATAGTACATTGCAAAGCCAATCCAGAATTGTGAGAAAGTAAGATAGACTTGCCTCTTAATGGTAGTAAAAACAAAGAAGTTGTAGCTCTGTTCAGTCCACCCAGAAATGAACATCTTAGTCCATAACCTAAATGTGTTCTTCCTTGGTCACTCTTTCCCACTTTTTGCTCCTGCATATCCTCCATTACAATACATTCTCTGGGTCACCAGTAAATAGGAGTACTTGTATGTACTCATTGGGACCACTATCTTTAAGAGTTCATTTTCACTTTTACTAATTAACTTCTTTGGCAATTCCATGTGCTTATATTTTGAATAATTCATTCTGATCACTTTCTCCCCCAAGCTCTTACTTACTCTCTACCACCCTTCACCCTCCCTCCTCTCCTACTGTCCTTTTCTGGATTTAAGACTTTTGGTTTGGTTTAACCAGGGACATCTTCATGACCATTGGATTAGGACCATCCGTTGGTACCTGATGGGATCACCACTAAGTACATACCTGAAAGCAATCATTCCCCTTTCCCAGAATTTATCTGTAGGAAATAGTTCATCAGTATGGGATAGGACCCCCTGGATCCCTCCTTCACCCATGCCTGACTGTTGATAGTCTCAGCCTCAGGCTGATCCAGTGCAGACATACACATGTGTTGCAAGTCTGTGGTTGCAATGGCTGTATGTATGACAACTTTTTATGCCCCAAAGATGGTGTTCTGCAGCCCTTCTCCCTGTCTTCTGGCTCTTGTATTCTTTATGCTCCTCTTCTTCATGTTACCTAACCCTTGGAGGGAATACAATAAATGTCTTATTTAGATCTGAGCACTCAGCTGTTACTTCTCAGTATCTGTCTCAGCCAAGTCTCAGAATTTAGCATAGTTCATTGGAAACAGAGGCTTCTGTGATTATGCTGAAAGTGGTGATTGTCTATGGGTATAAACAGATACATTTAGAAGGTGATTGGCTCATCGTTATGTCAGTTTAGTTAAACAACACATGTATGTGTTCCTCCCCAGGGCCTGTGACCTCTTCCACCATGTACTTTTGAGTGGGTTTATGGTACCAGGATTTTCTCCTGTGGGGTAGCCAGGCAAAGCTATGTAACACTATCAATTCCCTTTTCCCCCTGACTGCTGGAATAGCCCCTTCCAGAGCTATAAAAGTTAAGCCAGCAGGGAGGAGTTGTTATCTCACAGTTCCAAGTTCTCTAACTCAGTTATTGTGTGTCACGTCTTCAGCAATAGATTCTTATCATCTAGTTCTGGAGGGTGGCAAAGAAAAATGACAATGTCTTACATGGATTTGGAGAACTCTAGAGTCCAGAGTGCTAATCTAGAGCCTAGAGTCTCCCTGACCAAATACCCATAAGGAAATATCCCAGACGAGGCACTGAGGATTTTGAGTAATAACCCATAGCTTCTAGACAAACTTTTTCACAGTGGGAAGGTGTCTCCTTTCTATGTTTAAGATGTGCTTTTTTGTTTGGCTTGTTTTTGTTTGTTTGGGTTTTGTACTTGATGTTGTTACAAGATAGTAGATTTTCATTGGCTTGGCTTTCTAATACTTACTTCATTTTTCTTAGCCCTCCCCTCACCCCATTTAAACTTTTCTTCTCCCAGTACCCTCCCCCCGGCACTACTTTCATAGTATCTATATTATAATATCTCCCCTCCTTTAAGATTTCTGACCTATGCAGGAAGTGAAAAATATAGAAGCTTGGATCCACAGATGAGGGAAAACACAGTGTTTGTTTTCCCATGTCTATGTTATACTTTCCTACTTCCACCCACTTACCTTCAAAGTTCATAATTTCATTTTTTGTAGCTGAATACAGTTCTGTTGTGTACATATAGCATATTTTCATTGTTCATTCATCAGTTAATGGACATCTGAGCTGATTCTATCTCCTAGCTTTTATGTGTTGAGAAGCAATAAACACAGATGAGCAAGTATATCAGTTGTATGACATAAAATTCTCTAGGTATATTCCCAGGACTGTAATAAGAACAACCATCTTTCTTGATTTCAGACAAGCTCTGTCCTTCTAGGCAGCAGGTCACTATATTTCCTCCAACTATTGTTCTTACCCTATTTTGTATTCCTTACACATCCATGTGGCTCTCCATTGGCTATTAAGCATGCCATTCTCACCTTCAGACATTTCCCATGTTAACCAACACCTTTCTCTCTCCAATCTCAAACTCCTACCCCCTGTTTTTCTCTCCTGTTCATGAATGTGTATTACTATGCCATGTGCCTTCTTCAAATATTGACCCAGTGGTGCTTGAGAGCCACACTAAGGATCGTCACATCTTTAGACCAGCAATCATTGTGTCTTGCAATGTGTTTTCTAGAATGATTGAATGCTGACATGTCTACTGAAGCTCTCATTGACCAAGGGTGATGAAGTCACTGTTCTTTCTTTCTTCCTTTCATTGTGTTTCTGTGGTGCAGAAATTCTCCTTCATCCTAGCTGGAACAGTAAGAGGCATGGTTCTAGCTCTAGACTTCAGCTTCTGCCTCCAGTGCCTCTTGTTCAGTCACTTGTAGCATGTCAGGAGCTTGCATAGTAACTCAGATTACATGCCACCCTTGTACTTGCCACCTGCAAGAAGCTGATTTACTAAAAGCCCTGCTGGGTCTGTTAAATCCTGGTAAAGGAATAAGGCAGCTCACCTCTAACTGCTGTCCTATGCTTCTGTAAATGGTTTTCTCTCTATTAAGTGCTCAGGGGAGTACTGTTTACAAAACTAATTGAATTCTTGCCAGTCTGGGGCATGAGCCAATCCCACTCCAGAACTCAGTGATATACATATATCTTCTAACATGGATGTGGGTTTGATCCATCAGCAGATTAGAAGACAGAATCTTTATCTGTCTATATGGATTTATAGATATAGTATAATTATGACAATGTGTGCTTTCTGGTTAAAGATACTTACCTTACTAAAAAGTGGGAAGTGTGGAACTAGAAATGTAGCTTAGTTGAGTAATTACTTAGCATTCACACAGCCCTAGTTTCCAGTATTGCATAAACCAGACATAGTAGTTCATGTTTGTAATCCCAACACACAGAAAGTAGAAGACAGAAGGTCATAATTTAAAGGTTATCCTAAACTACATGGCTAATTCAAGGCTATTCTGGGTTATGTAAAACCTTGTCTCAAGAAAATGAAAAAAAATAAGCAAATACAGTTTACATTTTCCAAAGAATAAATCTATGTTCTCTTTAGAAACTGTGATGCTACTTTCAGTTTAATTTAGACTGACAAAAGTTCATTTCTCTTTCTAGCACCACCCTTTCTACCACTATGAAGTTTGAATAGTTCCCTTTTCTCATCATTAAGGATATTATGAATGATACTAGCAAAGTCAATTACTTACAGATTAGATCTTACCCTGCCTTTGGAAGTTGTGTATTTAAAAGACTGGATAAAGTTTATCATCAGTAGAGATTTGCTGAGCTGCAGCTCATTGTGAGTGATAAAATATTTGGGGAAAGGAAGAAATTCTGGCTAAAACAGTAACCATCAAGACAAGGAAAAATCATCACAAAAAGAAAGGTTCTTTCTTTGGGGCTCAAAAACTTCTGGGGGTTCAGTGAGGTGAGGTTGCTGTCAGTAATGTGCTTGCCACATAACAATGAGGACTTAAGTTTATAGCCCCAGCGCCAAGGAAAAATTTGAGTGTGACAGTAAGCTCCTGTAACCATCCACTTTGGAGAGGTGGAACCATGAGCATTTCTGACACTTGCTGACCAGTCAGTCTAGCCAAAATGATAACCCCTGGTCCAGTGAGAGTAATAAAGAAGGATCCCTAACATTGACCTCTGACCTCTACACAATCATTCAGCATACTCACGTGTATGCCTGCACCTGTAAATACATGCACATATGTGCAAACATCTGCAAAATCTTTTGACTATATATCAAGATTATATATGTATATATATTATATATATGTATAATTTTTATAATACATAAAGCCTTTTTATAGTACATGAAGCCTTTGCAGGAGAAATTGCTACAGATGCAATGGAGTACCACCGACAATGTGAAGCATGTTTGGATACAATGAACATTCTAATGCAGTGTTACTGCTGTGTTCTCACAGATCCATGTTATGTGTTTTGCCTTTCTCTTACCAGTTCTTCAACATGCTTTACCCTCTGGCCAGTGCAAACTCAATCTGCTCTTTTTGTTTCGTTGTTCTAGTTACATCACCCTCTGTCTTCCAGGTCCTACATGACAGATACAATCTTCTGTTGTTTTCATCTTTTTTCAGCTGCCATCGGTGTGATAGCAGTAATTATCTGAGATGCATCTAACCATCTTTCATAGAACTATGCTTGCACAGTAAACTGTTCCATAACTGATATCTTTGTGAACATCTGGCTGCACTGTGCAGCGTGAGTAAACATTCTGTGTTATTCCCCTTTCACAGTTTGTGGAGATGAGTGCACAGGCCTTCTTCTTGGTGACCTGGCTCATCTACAGCAGTTGGCCATGAACATCAACCTCACTGGCCCACTGCCTGCTCCGTATAAAATTCTCCATGGTCTTGAAAATACAACTCAGGAACTCAAGGTAGGTGGGGGCACTCACAGCTTCAGGGCCAAGGGTTGAGATGACAGAGGCTTCCCAAGTGGTCTTGGCCATCATTAGTGTATGTTTCTTTCACTGCCCCAAACCAGGAAAGCAAAGGCAGAAAAGAAACATCTAAACTGATATTTCAGACTGGAGAACTCCAATGTGCAGAGTGCTACTAACGGCAAATATTCTTATATCCCCCTCTGTTTGGCCTAAATCGGTTTTATTATGTGACTTAAATATGTGCAAACATAAAATCAGGTATGTACCCCTTATACTTATAGCTCCATAAAATGAAAACAAATTAATCCTTACAGAAGTCTGCAAAACCAATAAAATTCAAATTAAAAGCATTAATCTAAAGTAATATGATTTGGGCTGAAAGTGAATTCCTTCTCGCAAGGATAATGTGATATTGACTATATCCCTACTCTTCTACAGGTGACTGGCGGTTTCTCAGTCTACATTCCTGTAGTGCAACTGAATAGCTCCCTACATGGGGTCCTGAAGTGACGAGCACACATGACTTATACCTTCAAATTGACCACTGACCCATGCAAATTTAGGTTCCATGATCAAGTGCTGGCATCAATCTGCTGGTTTCCTATCCTGGGAGCAAGCAATGCTTTCACTGATCTTTATTATTACTGAAAAAAATGATTAAAATGTTTTGCAACTTTGGCAGTGATTCTGAAGGTACCAATTCAAGACACGCTATTCTAAACCATTGCTAAAACTTCTAATGTATGAAAGGCTAGAAGCAACATTTAGAAAATTAATGTGGTTTACAATGAGTGAGAAGTAGTTACTTGCATGTTGTCACTCAGTTATCAAGTACATACTGAGAAGTCTTAGGCTCCCCACTTGTACTCAATTCCCTGTGCATTTCTTAACTCCTCTGATCTTTCCACACCTTCAGGAAGCTTACGTAGATTCTCTGCTGTCTAAAAAATAGTTAAACAATAATTAAGCCCCTAGCAAAAAAATACATAGTTACTATGTGCCTTCTAAAGATTTGAAGCACAAAAATTGGAAAACCGGTAAGATTCAGGGCAACTAGGGAAACCACCAGTAATGAGAGCTTAGTTTTATTGGGATCTAAATGGCAGAGAAGGTTTTAAAAGGAAGAGAAGTTCTGGGGGACAAGAGGAAGACATCTTTACTTCATTCACTAGCTAGCAGGAGATACTTTTCTAGGGAATATATTCTTTAATCCTTACCATTACCTTAATGATGGCAGTAAAAATAACTAACATTTGTTGAAAAGTTATATAATGAAAATTGTACATGTATTATAACACAGCTCTTGCAACAACAGTAAAAACTCAAGAAGCAAAACGGAGTTTTGATATTTTTGTTCTGCTAAGTTTCTATATGGAAAATTTGTCTTAGTCTATTCTGTTGTTTCAACAAAATGCCATAACTGGCTAGGTTATAAACAATAGAAATGCATTTTTAATGGTTCTGCTGCCTGAAAAGCCAAGTTTAAGGCAGACTCAGTGTCTGGTAAGGGCTCATTTCTTGTATATTTGACTCCTTGTTCTGGCCTCATCTAATAGCAAACATTGTGAGCTCTCTGGATATATTTCAAAGGTTACAATCCCAAGAAGAAGGGGTCTCAACTCCTCATCTAATCACTTCTCAAATGCCTACTTGATAACATCATTACCTTATAGACTAACATTTCAACAAATCAATTTGTAAGCTATATAAGCCCTAGTTCCCATCGTGATGGTATTTTAAAATCAGATCTTTGGGAAGTGATCATTGTTAAGATGAGGCCTGAGGATGAAGCCCTCATAATGCAATGTTAGATTTAGAAGAATGGGAAGAGGGACTGCCTCTCTGGCAGCCATTTCAGAACCCAAGGAAAAGATAACCATGTGCGGTCCTCACCAGCAACCAAATTAGTTGGCAACCTTGGGTTGTTCAGCTTCCAGAACTGTACATTTTGTTCAAGCGACCTAGTGTATGGTAATTTTTGTTTGAATAGTGTGAAATGACTAAAACAAAAGTACCATATTAAATATTTTTCAGTAGGGAAACTGAGGCATAGTGAAGCACTGTGTGAAGCCCAGTTCCATTGCTAGTAAGTGTAGAGATGAGATTTGAGTAGAGGCAGTGTGACTTGAGGGCCTTTGAGATTGAACATCTTTTCAACCTTGAAGAGACAAAAATAATTCAAATGGGAGAATCTAGTTAGCCAGTAGTGAGGCCTCCTTGGCCTCAGGCCTTGCTCTTACCACCTATTCTTGCTTAAGACAGCCACCTGCATATGACAGTGATATGCATTGGACCTGTCTGGCCACATTAGAAGTCAGGCCTGCTTGTGAGAGATAAGGCTGAAACTCTAGAGGAGAGGGCAATAGAAAGGACAACCTTGAAAGCGAGGCCACAGTCTATTTACCTCATAGTCTCACATTCAAGAACAGAAAACACTTTATGAAAAGGAGGCTGACTAGCTATTTTCAACACAGAGAAAGAATAAGACTAGGAAACAAATTAGAAAAGCACATATTTAAATTGGGCATAAATGTTTCTAAAAATAATAAGTCATCAATGGATGGTGAGTTTCCTGAAGCCTTCTGGAAGAGGTTCTACCTGTGAGCATCACTAATACCAAAGACTTGTATCACCTCTCTTCCTTATGTCTTAGAGTTCATGAAAATGATTTCCATAATTCTTCAATTCCAGTCTTTCTTCATTCTTTATCTCAAATCTTTTCCCACAATTCATTTATTATTTGAAAACTTAGGATCTATTTTCATATTTTACAACCTTTGAGAACTACATTTGATCATGTTATGGTTCCCAAGTTCCAGCCAATGGCCACCAGAACAATACCCATGATAGCTAAGCTGGGTTTATTTACTTACTACCATCATTGATATTAAGCAATATGGGGGCATCATGCAGTATCTTTGCAAGAAGACATAAAGAGTGACACACAGCATTTAGACGTGGACTTGGCCTCTGTGAATAGAACGGGTTCCCAGATGCAGACACTTGCAGCCCTTTCAGCCATTAGAAAGTGGGCGTGGAGTTCTAGATGCAAATTCTGGTGAATCTTATTAGAACAGGGGATGGCTAATGTTGTGTGATTAATAAGGACACGAAATAAGCATTCGGGTATTTTGTGATCTGTACAAGGATGTGGAACTGTCTACTCTTTGACAAGCTTACAGAGTGGACTAATTTTCATTTTATTTATCACTATCACAGGGTGGCCTTCTCTAAAAGTAGGTTGTAGATTGTAGAGGAATCTGGTATAGTTGTGTGTGCAAGGCCAGCTCCTACCAATCTTGACCACAGGACCAGCCAGGCAAACAAAGTCCTTGTAGAAGGGGCTGCTCTCTTTCTCCCTTGTAAACTACAGCAATGCTGATTAGAATGGGAGCCTTAAATGCAAAGGTCTTTCTAAATACAACCAAATACCAGCTGATGGCCTTTTGTAAAACAGACTCTCTGCAGTTCGTAGTTTGCTCATCCAGAAAATGGAGTAACTGTACTTCACAGAATTCTTATAAGAAGTGAATTTGGGAGTGGAGGAAATAAAAAATAAATTTTGAACATGGTAATTTTTCAATAAACTGCAGCAGATCAATATTAACACGAATGTCTAGCATGGCAGTCAGTAAGTGACCACTTGCAGTAGTTTCTTTTCTATTGAGGGTAGGAGTGCTAAGTATTCATTGTGTACAAGAAAAATGTGTTCTGTGTGACCCTAGGATGGCTGCCAACCCATTTACTAAGATGTATATGGTCTGAAATCTTTTCCAGCACCTGCTCTCACCCCAGCGGGCACCGGAGAGGCTCATTCAGGTGGCGGAGGGCAACCTGAACACCCTCGTGATGGAAATGAATGAGCTGCTGAGCAGGGTGAGTTAGAAAAGCCACAAGTCTCCTTAAGCACAGAGACCTTAGGGAGTCAGTTGCCTTCTAACTAAAGAGAGTGACAGTGATATTCTGAAATATTCTTTCTAATTTTCAAGTTTGTTCATGAGATCTGGGAATAATGGTTGGCTAATTCCTCTCCAAAGGAATTCTTATTTCCCAGTGGTCCCCTCCAAACACACACACACACACACACACACACACACACACACACACACACACACACACACACACACACACACAACATTGACATACTTGGCCTGGGCCAAGGAAAAAGGGTAATGATGATTGTGTATTTTGAGGACTTTATCGAGTAGCCTCCATTGTAAAAGTTTTCATGAATTCTAAGTTTCAAAAACTCTGTCCTTGATTATGTAAAGGAAAAGAAAAACATGAAAATACTTGTTGTGTGTTTAATCCTTGTGGAGTTTCTGCATTTTTTACAGAAATACAGTCTCAAGCAGTACTCCTACTCAGAAAATGAAATCTTTATTGTCAAAATCTGGAGCATTTAAGACACAATTTAGTCAGGCTGTAAAAACCCATGCTGCTTCTATCAGACTTTTCCCAGCAATCTGTGAGTTTAAATTTTCAAAACTGCAAGAAGGTTGAGGTTCTTTTTACCCATTGGAGACTGAAGAAAACAACATAAAGTCTGCCATCTTGTGGACAGAAGAATGCATGACCATGAGAGCTGGCCTGCAACCCAGGAACCAGGGGATTATATAAACTTACATTTAAATGACGGGAAAATGTCGCAGTTAGAAGATTCTAGGAGATTACCTAGTCTGTTTAAAGACAGACTCTTCCCACCCTTAACAGGAAAATAAATTAACAATGGCCACACAACCTGATAAAGCCAAGGTGCTAAGTCTCACCGGCCCTCTACATTCCCCATGAGAGTCCTATAGGAAAACCAAATGGCTTCTAAACACAGAGCGGAACCACAGTTCCTGGGTTCCCTATCACATCAGAAACCTCTTTTCGAGGATTCAGCCCACCAACGCAGAATGTGCAGGACGAGCAGAACTTCCGGCTAAAGTTAGTGTAGCTTATACTGGTTTCATTTAAGGGTGAGTAACTTTTGGTTTGTCACACGAATATTACCAAATAAGATAGTTTGAACAAGTCTTGCTAAACTCAGTTCAATTCAACTCATTTCCATCTGTTTGCCTACTGTGGCCAGGTTAAGGGTTGACAAATGAAAAATACTAGTGAGGCTCCCCCTTCCCTGTTTGTTAGTCATGAATGTGTGTGGACATGTGTGTGTGCGCGTGTGTTGGGGAGGGAGGTGATTACATTTGTTTAAATACGTAAAGCATGAAATAAATGAACAAAAACATACATAAGAAATGCCTAAAACTGGAATAGTTTAACCTGATAAGGAACGATTAGAAAAAAAGAAAGTCCATGAAACAGGTAGGATTTCGCTCATTCACCAGTTGATGGCTGGGGCTCACTGTTGCAGGCACTATGCCAGACCTGCAGGTACAGGTGCGAGTGAAGCTGGCACAGTCCCTGCTCTCACGGAACCTGTGTAGCCTAGTGGTCTCAGCGTAGAGACACACGCCAGATCTCTTTTGCATCTCAGCCCCTGTGGTTTGTTTTTTTCTTCGCAGCAGACTAAATTTGTATATTTTTAGAAGCCTTTTTAAGAGCAGTTAAAGCCTCAAAGCAAAATTGAGTGGAAAGTGCAGGAAGTTTCTACACATCTTCAGCCCTCCCCACTTTCAACCCTCCCCGCTGTTCACTGGCCCAACTGTTGTTGTCAGTACTACGTCATAGTTGCCCCAAGTCTGTAATGTGCCTTAACATTCACTCCTGCCACTGCACATTGTATACAAATGTAGAATATTCAATATCCAGTGTGATCATATCCCACAGAATAGTTTCATTCCCCTGGGGGTCTCTCCATAGTGTGATCTTAGCCAGAATACTGTGTAAATTGGAAACATTGATGCAACATTTTCAGACTGGCTTTTTTTTCCCTGAGTTATACACACCTAAGGTTTCTCTCTGTCCTTTCACGGCTTAATAGCTCATTACTCTTTGGCTCTGAATAATAAATATTCTACTGTCTTCACGCATCACAGTTGATTTATCCATGTACTTAATGAAGGATGTCTTGATTGCTCCCAAGTTTTAGCACTATGAAGAAATTGACTATAAATATCTCTGTTCAGATTTTTGTGTGGGCATAGTTTTCGATTCATTTGAGTAAATACCAAGCAGCATAATTCCTGGCATGTTGTTTTTAAATGAGTGTGTTTATCTGTGTAAGAAAGTCTCCATATCTTCTGAACTGAGTAGGACATTTTGCATTCTCAGAAGCTTTGAATGGGAATTGCTATCATTACATGTCATTAATGAACTCTGGTATTGTTAGATTTAGGGTTTGGGCCATTATAGAGGCAGGCATCACGCTCAACTTATTTTTATTTGTTTATTTTTTATTTTCTTTTTGTATGGGGATTGGTGATCCAAACTCATATCTTCATGGCTGTGCAGCATCCACCTTTCCCGCTCAGCCCTCTCACCAGTCTGTCTTTTTGTTGCATTTTAAGGGTTCTTTGCATGATAGGTAATAGTTTTCTGTTCTAAAAAGTTCAGGAGTTTTTGTTCTAATATAGTTGAGCCAATCAAAAATGTTTCCGCATTAGCGTATCATTGGTGTTTTAACCCAGAGGTCAGCACCATCACCCAAGGTTCTATATTTTTGCTGTCTTCTTTTATATTCTAGGAACTTTGTAGTTTTTTATTTTACACTATGATCCATTTGTACTTAATTCCAATGTTAAATTTTTTAAATAAACCTAGTGTTTTATACTTTTTTTAGATTTTTCAGAAGTCACAAAAATAGCACAGAGGATTTCTGTGTATGCGGTTCCCAGTTTCTTCAGTTTTTACATTTATGTTACTACAATACATCTGATGGACTGTTTGAATGAAAAATAGCTTGATTTTTACATCTTTTTAGTTTCTGCTTAGTGTTTTGCCCTTCCAGGACCTCTTTCAAGATGCCCTGCTCCATGTAGCAATCACATTTTCCTAACTTTCTCTAACTAACAAGCTTGTGGGTGATCAAGGTGCCTGAAAATTCAAGCATAAGAAATCATAAGCAGAGGGATAGAGGGCTCAGTACCCAATAGTAGACTACACAGCCAGTGCACAAGCAAAGAGTCATGTGATTGGGCCAGAGCCTGATCCATCCAATGGCTACAACTTCCTGTTCTCCAATACCTACTGCCTTGGACTGGGATTTCATTGTGGAATTTACCTGGTTCAGGACTCAGGCCCATGGGAATCATGATGCTATTGGCATGTGGTCCAGTCTGAACAGTGGGATTTTCATGAACACCTCAGGTCATTCTGACATCAACCAAGGTTAAGATCCATTATGTTGCCTCACAGTTAAAGCCTCCATTCCTCTGATGGGCAGTCTTTCTATACGTTAAAACGAATGCACTTTCACTCTGCATTGATGGTATAACACCTGCTGCCCTTTCACCTTGAAGTGCTTACATATTTTTGCTTATTTTAAAAAGAGAAATCTATTTCCCTAACATTCCTGGTTAAAAATATTAGCATCAGAGCAGCTACAAAAGTATGTGGACAAATCCAAAATCAGTGCTGATTTTGGATCTCTCGACAACTGTATTAAAATGAGGAAGCACTTATATTAAATCCATTTTTTGATAGCTGCTTCCCATGTGCTTTATATTCTTGAGAAGACAGTGCTAGAAACAGCCGGAATATCAAAATTTAGCTTTCCTTGCTTTGTCTTTCATTGTCTATTGAAAAAAAAATCAAGCTTAATGAAGATGAAGCATATGCAAAGCAAGGAAACTAGTTTTTTTTTCAATATTTAAGTGCCTGCAATGGCATGTGTTTATGCTGCTTTACTTTCATTTTTCAAAAACTAAAGTTCAAGTTGTTAGCATCATCCTTTATTTTTCCTCCTGTGTTTTAAGGGTGGTGAGGGTATATGTAACAAATCATGCTGGTTTGGTTTGCACGTTTGAAAACTGACATAGGACATATTCAGAAAGTCACACCTTAGAAATGTCTCCCTCACCATTCCACAGGGCTAGGTGACAGCTTCCTGTGTCTTTCCTTGTATGTTGTTGGTGCAACAGCTTGCCTGCAGAGTGAGTCACTGCCACTTAGATATACAATGCAAGTAGTATCTGAAGATGGCACTTGAAAATATTCTGTAAATGATTAGATCTGAAATTTAATTATAGCAAGAATCCATATAAGTCTGCAGATGCAAAGGTGGATGGCATTTAAGCAATGTTGTCTACTAGGCAGTTAGATTTGCTCCATTAGATTCTTGTTTTAACATAGAGAAGCCCATAATGAAAGACACTAGTAATATCCAACCAAGAAAATGATGTGCAGAATTTAAGAGGCATGGTGAGATTTGTTTGAGCTACAACAGGGAGGTAAAAGCCACACTATTCAGAAGTAATTAATGTCTGCCTAATGGTCAAGCATGCTGTCTGTGTATAAATACTCTAAAAACGAATCAACAAAAACTAAAAGCCAGGGGGAAACAATCTAGTTGAGTGAGCATTACATTGAAACAACCAAATGTAAAGAAATGTGTTAGTGCATAAAACATTTTGAAAAGGAGCACTGAAAAGATTGCAGTATACAAGTAGGGGCAGAAGTAAGAAAGGCAAAGAGGATAAAAGCAAATTGTGCAGCATATCAGGAGAAGTAAAAGGTAGTGGTCAAACAGTCAAAGGATAAGATAAGCATGAAGAGGAAGGATGACTAAGAGATAGGAATGGCAATTTGTTTTTAAAACAAAAGAACACCCAAACTGAATCCAGCAGGCAGCTCCTGCCAGCTCATATGTGGCATCTGTCAGTACTATTACCAACAGCCTGTCCTAGGTGAACTTTTCTTTGTGAGTTTTGCCCCCTGCAGTTTGTTCACGTGGCAATGCCTGGTAGGAATGATGATGTCTGGTATCTTAAGAATAAACAAAGCTATGACATATCTCTAGCACTCAAAAGTAGAGATGATCCCAAGTGACACCTATGCCAGTGTCCACTGGGTGACAGAGCATTTGTAGATGACTTCCTTTTGTAAAGTCTGTTCTAGGGTTGTTTTGATCAGATGATGACTTAGCTATAGTATACAGTATAATGAGACGTGATTTGGAATATCTATGCCTAGGTGATGCTTTGATATGGACTTTGAAATGTCTTAGTTTATAAAATGCTTATAAGTACACAATGTACAACCGTGGCCTCTTCCTGCTTCAGATGTTCAGCCTTTTTTGTATGGGTCCCTCATACATCTGGATGTTAGAAAGATATGCAATAGCACTTAGCACAGACAAAAACAAAAATTCACAGCCAATAATCTGTGTCCCCCCCCCAGCTCCTTACCTATGACATCAAATAGACCATTTAAGCTTCCTGTACTTTCGCTTCCACCTTGTAGAAATGAGGTCCATGTTTTGATGTGTCTCCCAAGGAAGGGAGCTGAGATGGGAAGTGTTGTAAGCCCTCGTGAATCTTCACAGAATCTGTCTGGAAAAGGCTGACTGTAGAACCATATCCTTAAGTATGTCAATCCACCCAAGTCAGAGTCTTGGTGCAAAGTATTTCACATCTCCTTCTCTGCTGGGACAGAACCAAGAGAGGAAGTTATTATATGTACCAAAGAAGGGAGTCATTCTAACTAAGCCCTAAAGTGTCTGAGGACTCCACCCATCGTAAGCCTCCACCTTTGCTTTACCATCATGGAGTCTCCTGTGTCATCACAACTCTAATTTTCCAAGTGACTAGGAGATAGAACATGGTGTCCCTGCAAATGGAGGGCCTGTAGCCTGGCTCTCCTCCCAAGTACTCAGCTGCAGTTCATGAGTCGGAGCTTCATGTGAACAGTGAGAAATGCCCAGAAACCTGTTCTTCCATCCGCATTCACTGGCAAGCATAGCACCAGGCATATGGTCAGTCTAAATGACACTGGGATTCCTCCAGCAGGCTTTAGCACTTCAGAAGGGTGCTTGGTTTCATTATTTTTATACCAGCCAATCATCCAACATTTTAGACCCCCTGCAATTTGCCACATACCATGACTGGATTGCTCTGGAATAAAGAAAGTGAGACAGAATCCTAGCACCCAAATGTGGAAATTAGACAGATATGGCAAATTGTCCAACAACACTGATAAGTCTTGTGAGGAAAACGGTTTGGCCACCTATTTAACCACATCCAGGGACTATTTACTTTTGAAAGTTGGGTGCCATACTGAGAGATAGATATAAAATGATGAACACAACAGACCAAAACTTGCCCTCGTACTTGCCTGTTAGAAGAGAGGGGAAGTCGATTTGTAGGTGAGTCAGTTATTTATTCGTTAAAACATAAGTGATTCAAAAATAACATTGTGCTGTGGAGAAAATACTTGTCTGCAGTAAATCTGGAGGCCTGGTTAAGAATCCACACTAAGAAGAGAAAAAAAGGAAAGGGAATGGATGAATGGAGGTAAAATCTCTGAAAGTGTTAAGGAGACACCCACTCTGGGTAAAGACGATAGGAAACAAAGGGATACAAAGAAAGGAACTGCTCGGTGATGTGCTGAAAGGAAGCCAGGGAGACTCATTCCGTATGGCCTTAGTGACACCTTTGTAATCACGTTTCTCACCAGAGTGATCCTGGAGTACTGGTGGAATGGGAATTTAAAGTGTTTGTTAATGAAGTCTCTTACATAACACTCCATAAATGCAGTAAGTGAAGAGTAAGTGAACAATAGATATGTTCGTGGCCATCTAAATATAAGAGAGAACATATTAACAAACATTGTAAAGGATTAGTTGTATTAAATTCCTAAATATTAATGTACCTGATGGTGTGACCATGTGATCAGAAAAAATAGTGTTACAGAAAAAATAAACTATATTTTCTATGTAGTAGTATATACTGGTGCTGGTGTTTATATTCATTCCTAAGATACTGGAGGATGACCATATTGCATATCAAACCACTATGGTGTTCTATGACATGTGAACTTTGGAGTGGTATTGGAGGGTAGAGTCAGAAACTTCTAAGGTATTTTAGGTTGTCAATTTCTTAAATAGTTTACCTTAGTTAATGATCAAAAGTAACATTGAAAAAAGTGTGTGTGTGTGTGTGTGTGTGTGTGTGTGTGTGTGTGTGTTTATTTGATCCATCTAAGCCTTGGGTATAAATAGCTACAGAGACATGATTTGAAAGAAATTACTGGGACACATAACAATTACCATGGAAGCATGCAACTGAGATACTTAGAAATTATGTGCATAGTTTACTTATAAAAAGAATTATCAAAAACTAAAAGAAAAACAATCCCATTATTAATATCTTGGAAGAATAAGCCAGAGCATTAAGTACACTGATTAGTATTCTCCCGGTCATTGCTACCTGGTACAAACAGGAGTTTCAATGACTTCTCCCCTTTACATCCTTGTGATGATAACAGTTGCAAGTGTAAAAATAGGGTAACAATAATTGGAGTTCAGATTTCACCATTGATTCAACTTCTTATCGCCCCTGGGGGGATGGAGGATATGCAGAGTAATTCCTGTGGCATCTCCTGCCATGTTTCATGCTGGCCAAACAAATATTCACTGTTCAAAATCCACTGTGTGTTTATAAAAAAATTTAATTCTCTGGTCATTGATAGAATGCAAGCACTCTAGTACAAGACTACACAGTTGTTCTCAACCTTAATAATGCTACAAACCTTTACTACAGTTCCTCATGTTGCAACGATCCCCAACCATAAAATTCTTTTCATTTCTACTTCAAACTGTAATTTTGCTACTGTTAGAATCACAATGTAAATATCTGATATGCAAGATGGTGTTAGGTGGCCCCTGTGAAAGGGTTATTCAACCCCCACGTAATTGCTGTAGTGTGATATCACACAGAGGCACATTTTGATTCTCTGATTCAGTGTCAGTAACTAGATTATTAGGATTTTTTGAATGAGAAATTTTAATACATAGAGAAATAAATCTTAAGCCCATGCCATTGTGCTGTAAACCTTGAATTATTGTTAAAGAAATATTTAACATCATCTAGTCTATTTGTATTTGACCATCTTATGTCTGCAATGAACACTTCAAATCAACCCATCCCATTGTGTCAAAGGCATTTACAGTGTGACCCAATTTGAGTATGTTTTATGTTATGCTTTGGAAGGTAGATCTGTTTGGGGGTTTCTGTTTCATTTTGTTGCCCATGGTGTGTGATTCCACACATTAGCAGTCATATTTCCAGTGATGTCATATAGGGAAGCAAGTATTAAGTCTGCCTTAATGTTTTATTGGCATCTTTGGAGGATTACAAAACAGGCATTTACTACTGAGTAGCTAAGGACTCCCCACCCTCTTTGTTTCTTAATTAGCATATTGATCTAAAGTGAATCCATAGGATCAAGCTTATTGAGACAGATGGCCAGTTCCTCCCTCAAGAGATCATTGTTGCACACCACATGGTTTCAGAAAATAAAATATAGACAAAATTGCAGCTAGCGGAGGCAAAGACTTTTGGCATCAGAAACTTGAAGATACTTCAAAATAACTGTGTATTATCACTTTGTGTCATCACATATAACAAGAGTTTTAATGGGACCAAATACAGCTCTCTGATTTCCATTTAATGCGAAAAGTAATAAAGTTTAATTGTATACTTGAGCATGGGGTGCTGTTGCCGGTACAGCTGATCAATAATTCATCGATTGCCTTTGGCGCAAAGTAAAATTTGAAAGAAAATGTAGCCGGTGGGAGCTTATCTAGCTCTAACATCATCATCTCTATTAATTATGCTTTTCCTAAATTTGGATCATTAGGCGACCAAAGTGACAGCAGATGGCGAGCAAACAGAACAAGATGCTGAGCGGACCAACACAAGAGCAAAATCCTTAGAAGAATTCATTAAAGAGCTTGTCCAGGATGCTGAAGGTATTAGAAAATCACATTTTAATTTTTATTTTTCCCCTACAGAAAAATTTAAAAAGGGGATTGCACATGACTGAAATTCCCCTTATAAAGAGGTCACATTTCTAAACTCAATCTTAGGTTTAAAGAGTATTTTGGCTGAGCTGTTTGGTGTTGTGATTAGCTGAAATCTATAGCCTACAGAGTTAAATGAGCAAAAGCAGTTGATGAATTGATGGTTATGTGTGCAGAATAGGAATAAATTTGAGAATGTTTAAATAATTCATTGAAAACCTATCCTAGGCTATTTTTTCTAATCAAAGCTATCTACAACTTGTTAATCCTGTCTCTTTAAAGTTATTTTTGAAATTCCATTTAGTACATGAGCACTGCTCTTTCATTTCTCAAAATGGTCCTTCAAGTACTTGGGATGGGTTGTGAGAGAACATCTGTTGCTCAGGATTTGGCTATACAAGTTCACCAGAGGCTCCCTGGCATGTAGTCCACAGTTCCCTAGGAAATGGTTCTTGGCATCTCCCAATGACTGAGAATTAAAGTGGAAGCCACTTCTTTGGGCAAAAGCCAAGTCTAAGAAGTCCTTAACACTTCAGCCTCTATAAATAAACATGAACTATGGATGCATGTTCAGAAGTTTCAAAGAGTGGCTTTTCTTTCTTTAAAAAAGTTAAACACCTATTGTTCTACACTGCTGTGGACTTTTGCAATTTTGCTCTGTGATATAGAAAAATGGAGGGCATGGGAGCTAAACTCCAAGGCAAATTCTGATGTGTGGTCCAATATCAATAACGACTGACTCCCCATTATGTGTGGTGACAGCACTTTCATATGAGCCTGTTCTGAAGTAGAACACATTACTCTCTCTAGCAAGTTTCTCAGTACGCTCACTGTGCTCTGTGATCTCGTCCATGAAACTGTCACATTCTCCCTGGCATCATTTTCCATTAATGCTATTTGAAAATACCCTCTAATAACAAATATATGACAGAGAGCTGCTTTCTTCCACATGGATTTCTGAAGGTAACCTTTGCCATCTTCTGTCTGAAGTCTCAAACACTCAACACCCAATGACCTCCTAGTTACTCGTTTTTTAAAATCATTTCATCTTTGGTTTGGGAGTCAGTGGTTCAGAGTACTTGCTGTTCTTGCAGAAGACTCAGATCAGATTCCAAGTACTCATGCCAGACAACTCAGACACCTTCTTTAACTCCAGTTCCAGAGATGCAACACCCTCTCCTGACCTGTAAAGGTCTCTACATGCACTTGTTGTACACACAAACACTCAAGGTGTGCATCCATGTAAATGAAGTAAAATAAATATTTTTAAAAGTAACTTGTTTGTAAACATAACTGTTAATACACGCTTTAGTGGACTCCAGGTTCATCACTGCTTACTCTCTTCTTTACAATGAATCTGCCACACCCACCACACACAGAGACAAAAATATAGCTGCTCCTTTGGTCAGTGTAGGCTTTTTGTGTTGCTTCTTTGACCTTTTTCTAGATACCATCTTACAGTTTGTATACCACACAAGGTCACCATTAAGGACAGTGTAAAGATAGCATTTAACCACATTTATGAGTGCACACACCAGATAAACAAACAAAAAAAGCATGGTCAATTGTGAGAGGTGGCTCTCATTTTCTACCTTGTACCTTGTGAACTGAACACATCCGTGCAGTGACAACACCATTTACTAATTCATGTAAGGTGTCATGTGTGATAGCTGTATCTGAGGAAATAGGAACATGGTACATTTCTGCCAGCAGGCACTATTTGGTAGAATTAATGCAAGTCTCACAATGAAATCAAAGCTCAAATTTGCATATATCAGAAAGACATTAAATTCTAGCTGAGATGTTCTATGAGACTGGCTACAAGAGACTTAACAGTCTAGGGAAGAGGGGAGAAAGAAAAAGGATATGGGGAGGGGCAATAATAAAGGGAAAGACAGGGAGGAGGGAAAGGAATTGCCTAAAGGTTACATAGGTTATCCCACCCAGCCACACTTTTGTTTCCTTCACCTAAACTTCAGCAATGGGGTGATCAGGAGTGCTTCTGTATTTTACTAGTGGCAGTAAATTGCTGAGGAAAAGTGAATGCTTTGGCCTGGCATTTGTCTGTTTCAGTTTTGTTTAGATAGATGAAATGCTTACCAATCATAAAGTCTTCCTTTATGAGTCATGGCCTCTTCACAGACAATCAACTTCTAGTCAACCACAATGTATTTTTATATCTACTGTAATTTTATATCTACTGTGCTGTGACTCTTGATCAGATTGTGACTGAATTGCATTTTATCTCACAGGTTAGAGTTAATGAAGGACAGAGATCAAGCCCATTAATGTTTATGTTGTGACTTATAGCAGGACTTAATTAATACTAGACATCTTTCTTGTCTGTTTCTCAGAACACATTTCCTTCCAGATGCATTTACTCGTAAGAGGGTTTTTTCAGATTTAATATGGAGAGTGTATTTGCTTCCTCCAAGGAGCTGGTTTGTCTTGTCTTATGGATGCTGCCTGATTCTCTTAAGAGGGCCCCATTTATTCTGTGCTGAGCATCAGCTGCTGTCAGAACAAACAGAATGGCATGCCTTTCTATCTAGAAGCATTCCCCATTCTCATTTTTTCTTTTCCTCTGGTTTCCCTTTATGTTGATTTTACCTTGACTTTCGATATGTTAATTACCATAAAACCCTCTTCTGGAATAAGATCAGAGCAAGTAGAGTCAATTCAAGTGGCATATTTTGCAACTATTTTCAACTCTGTAGGAAATGTATTGAAAGGGACACTACATACCTTAGAATAAAGGATTAAATAACATTGATCTTGACTTTAAATTCTGATTCCACATACATAAGATGTAGAAGGGCTAAACCTTGTCTGCTCAACTAGCTTTCCTCTCAGTGCTAGGGATTGAGTTGAGGGCCTAGTGCATGCTGGGTAATGATCTCCCACTGATCTCTGATCTAGCCCCTCTTACATACAAATGATGTTTTCTTTCGTTTTCTTTCTCAATGCAACATCATATTGTTGCAGCCATTTTGTGTACCCTATTAATTTCCTTACTTATTCACATGCCATTTTTATTGAAAAGATGTGACATATACATTCCAAAAGATGCAACTGAAGTCTGTGTTTCCTTACTCTCTTTCTCTGGCCATTCTTTTCCTATTAATTTCTTCTCTGCAGAAATTCATATTTGAGAACAGATTATAACGACACTGTAAGATGACAGAAGCCCCATCTCTACCCCTGCAAACACCAGAAACTTCCAGAGGACTGTTCAAACACCAGATTGCTGGTCCCTGACTCCAAGACTTTTTGTTTCAGTCACTCTGTGATGGGGCCTCAAATCTGCATTTTCTAAAAAAGTTCCAGTATGCTGCTGCGGCCACTGGGTAGGGTACCACATTTCAGAGCCACCTTCTCAAAGCACACCCTGACTGCTGTGCTGTGCACCTGACTTGGGCTCTCTGCCCAGTGCAAATCTGCAAAAAAAAAAAAAAAAAAGTCTCTTCAATAAGGAAATCCAAGATTTATTACATCTTAAAGAGGTCTTCATAGAAAAATACCTCTTGGGCAGGCCATACTCTTTGCTCTGAGGATTTTCATGAGTAATACTGTAGAAGCATATATTAAAAAGACAAAGATCTTGAGAATATATCCCCCTTCAACTCACCAAATTAATGTCCCATAGAACATTCAGAAAACACAAGGCTAAAATGAATGATAGAGCTACGTAACTATTTCAATTCACTAAGTTTTTAAAGTTTTATTTGACAGAGAATTCTTTTTCAAATGAAATCTTGCCCAGAACACCAACCCATCAAGCAGTTTCTTGGCAGAACAGGCATCATTTGTAGAGTACCTGAAGCACCTGGAGAATCCTAACATTCCAAAGAGCACAGCTTGAAGCCCCATTTACTGCATAGTAAACACAGACCCCCTGAATGGATGTTACTGCTGAAGGCATGCATCTTTCTGGCTAATCTACCTGTCTCCTCCCTAAACTGGTGCTCCTTCCAGCCTTCAAAAATTGAGGATGAGAGAGTTGTAAAAATACGAAAGCGGGTCCATGTTCAGTGAACTCACAGCTGACAGCATTTCCATTCTCAATGTTCTGAGATATTCTAGATCTGACTTGTCAAAACCTCTTGCATGTTCAGCCACAGGGTGTTAACCTATACATCTCCTATCTCTCCCTTTGATCTGAAGAGAATCTGAATCTGTTCTTTATATTTATATGCCCTCCATTTGAGGCTAGACATACAGTAGTTTAGTTACTATGGTTTCACTAAAGAAGTTTAAGATGGAGAGTTATGTCACATATTCCTCTTTGGTGCTGGCCACCAGGATTCCTGACTCTCGTTCTCAGAACAAACACCCTGGACATGGTGAGAAGACCAGAAGTTGAATGCCAGTTTTGCATGTGACATTTTCATTACTTAATTTACAAAATTTGTCTTAACCCCCGCCCCAACAGCTTTAAATGAGAAAGCTGTAAAACTAAATGAGACATTAGGAAGTCAAGACAAGACTGTGGAGAGAAACTTGCAAGAGCTTCAGCAAGAGATCGATCGGATGCTGAAGGAACTCAGAAGTAAAGATCTTCAGACACAGAAGGAAGTGGCTGAGGATGAGCTGGTGTGAGTAGATTCTGGGGTCTTAGCAATTGATCAATTGAACAGCATTCTTAGGAGTTTCCTACGATTCTATCCCACAGGTGAACAGAACATGGTGTTCTTATCCAGGGATGTTTACTATTATTTATTTTTCATGACTTTATTTAGTGCTATCAACTTTACTTTAAAATTTATTAAACGCATCTTTTTTCCTATATATAAAATAATAAGTAAAAGAACTTTATTACGTTATCTTTTATAAGTAGGCCAATAGGCTTGCTTTGCTAATGACTGGTATCAGAAACATTGAAACTATCAATAAACTCAAAAGGCTAGAGGTGTGACTTGGCTAGTAGGTGCTTGCTTTCCAGATCTACCCAGTGATCCCCAACACTACATAAACTGGGCACAATGTTACACCTGCAATTCTAGAACTAGGAGGATCCAAAGTTCACGGTCATCCTTGGCCACATAGCAAATCCAAGGTCAACCTGGTATATGTGAAACCCTGTCTCAAAGGGGAAGAAGACAGAGAGGGAGAGGGGTGCAGAAGGAGTGGAAAGAAGGACAGGGAGAAGGGGAAAGGAGGAGGAAGATGAGGAGGAGATGATCACCTATTTTGGTAAATGATAAGTAAGTCACACTTTACAAGGCCATTATTACTTTACCATTTTAGAAAATGCTGCTACCTTAAGTCTGGACCTTCTAGATCACTGAGTTGTAAGAAAAAGTAGACTAGATAAAAATCAAGGGGGTTGAAGATTTAGCTCAGTGATAGAGCCTAGCAAGTGCCCTGGTTTCAGTCCTCAGCTTAAAAAAAAAAAAAGACAAAATAACAAAATTATGGTATTAGGCTAACATGGTAAAAGCCCTGGTTTCAGTCCTCAGCTTAAAAAAAAAAAGACAAAATAACAAAATTATGGTATTAGGCTAACATGGTAAAACCATGAGAGGTCCATCTACAGTTTCCTAAGAAAACATGTCAATAGTCACTCCTCATAGTCAAAGAAAGTAGTGCATTATGATGGGTCAACTGGCACTTAGATCTGTTTTCTTTTGTATGTGCAGAAAAACAAAACTTTTCATTTCATCAGTCACACTGTGACCATGACATTATACCCCTAAACAATTGAAAATATAGGTTTACTGTTAAATTTAACAGGTGTCTTTTCCATTTTAATTAAATTTATTCCACAGTCAGACACCAGTTTCACCTTGACTCTATGCATAGTGAACCTGTTGGTGTGTTTTCACGTATTTTTAACCTTTCCATGTTAGATTCCCTTGTAGCATAGCTTGATATAAATAAACCCTTCTGATGTATACTCTGGCTGGGGGTGCTTGCAGGGCAGCAGAAGGTCTTCTGAAGAGAGTGAACAGGCTGTTTGGGGAGCCCAGAGCCCAAAATGAAGAAATGGAAAAGGATCTCCGTGAGAAACTGTCAGGTTACAAGGACAAACTTGATGATGCTTGGGATCTACTAAGAGAAGCCACAGAGAAAACACAAGATGCTAATCGCTTGTCTGCTGTCAATCAAAAAAACATGACCATTTTGGAGGTGAGAGCTAGGAGCCCTCTCCCTGGGAATGAGAAACAGGTTGAATGCATCTAGAATAGTGAAGTTGATACATGTTTACAAAGGTTAAGGCTATGACCCTGGAGTCTTTCTAAGAAACAACAGAGAGAAGAGAGAGAGAGAGAGAGAGAGAGAGAGAGAGAGAGAGAGAGAGAGAGAGAGAAAGCAGAGACTGTCTGTCCATCTGTGTCATTCAGCATTCAGACTATGGAAGGTTTGTAATGATGGCATGAAAGAAGCTCTTCCCTGAGAGACAGGGAACCTCCATGACAATGACGAATTTCTAGGTGCTACCACCTAGAAATCCAGATGGGGCCAATCCATTCTCCAGCTCTACAATGAGTACATTTTAATGGAACATACCTAGACAATTGCTAAGCTCCAGTGTCATGCAGTTTTTGCAGCTCCCCAACCTGATTCACAAACTCAATTCAGAGATATGGTTGCAAACAATCATTACAGTTCCCTCTGCTTGTGTGGAAGCTGAGACTTTGAGAAACCTGGAGACCAGAGGGAGGGAGCCTTCATTCCCTTCTTCACTGGAAAGTGTTCATGGACAAAGACATTTTTAATGGGACTAATGTGACAGACGAGTTGTTGGGTTGTTGTCCCTCCATTCCCTCACAGAAACCGGTCACCATTTACCAGAGAGCTGCTGAGCTTAAAACAAAAATAGGTTCCTTTCAGCATCCCTGTTGCCTCTATCCCTCTGTCCCTCACTTCCTTTTTTCTTCCTTCCTTTCATTCTCTCCCTTCATCATAACATGGTTAACGCTTAGGGGTTCTCTGAGAGTGAACGTAGTATACACAATGACACAGAATTGTGTTTGGTACGTGAACATTTTTCTCTCCATACACAACACACTTCTTGCTATTGCTTTCCCAAAGGATATGAATGTTGCAGGAAACCCACAGCTCTGCCAACGTGGAATTTCACTATCACCAATAACTCAATACTCCAGCGTTGTGCAAGATTTCTAAAAATGTCTGTCGAATGTCACTGACAGAGAATTAAACCAGCCACACATTTTATTTTTTGTTATTTTGTCTGTTTTCCTTTGGGTCTAAGACAAGTAAATTAAAAGAAAAACTTGGGGAGACATTCCCTCTTCAGGGATTTAGCCTTGTCACAGTGATAGAAGACTGAAGAGAAGCACTTTCACTGTAAGTCATGTGTCTAATCTTAACCAAATTGGGGACCACTGACACACTAGCAATAATCAAGAGAAAGCAGTATCGGGAGAGTCCGAAAATGCTAAGGCTGTCTTGTCACAGGCTCCATCATGACATATGCAACTCTGTGACAACTCCAGTGGTATAACTTACCCAGAGTTCTACCTCCCATTTAATGGGAACAGTTTAGGAAATTAAAATTCCCCATGTGGAAAGTACACTGAGTATTTGAGAAGTATTTCAAGAAGCATTATAGCAGCACAGTGAATGGGAACTTTGGCTGCTCCTTATATTAGTGATGTGTAAAGTCAAGCTCTGTCATTCTCAGGCACCCTGACAGACGTTTGTGCCTATACAGTCAGTCCTGGAGTTCCATGTCATCATTTTTGTATTTTTATTTCATATACTGTGCTTAATTAAAGGCTTATTTAAATACTTTCTGGATAAGATAGGTGAATTAAGTAAATTGTCAAGAATAAATGATGGTGCTTTTTTGTTTGTTTGTTTACATTGTGTAGGGATACTAATCTGGTAGGTGCCATACTAGCCTTTAAAAAAATGTCACTTAGAACCATGGAAGCTGGCTCAGTGGGTAATCGACCCTGTGCCTGAGCCTAAAAGGCTGAGTTCAATTCCCAAACCCCTTGTAGAGGAGAGACATGACTCCCACAAGTTGTTTTTCTGACTTTCACTTGTACATTTACACACACACACACACACACACACACACACACACACACATGTAATGAATCCTGAAAGGATGGGCTCCTCTGCAGGGTCTGCATAGGTTGGCCTATGGTGTTACCTGGTATTCATTACTGAGATCCTTGAATTTACTTACTGGCCACACAGATTTGAAAACAGCAGCTATCTTGTACACAGCCAGTTTAGTAATGAAATGACTTCAAACTTCCTTTGTACTGTATCTACTATTAAGGTAATATTAAGATCCAAATCAAATGGATGGTTATTTATTTATTTAAAAATGGCCATCTAGGAAGCTGGTTCTTAAAAATACCCTCCCTATCTGGGAATGGTGACATGTGCCTGTAACATCTGCAACCTGTGAGGCCAAAGGAAAAGGATAATAAGTTCTGAACTGTACTGGCTGCATAATAAGACCTCATCTCAAAAGACAAACAAAACAAAACAAATCCTCTAATGACTCAGATACAATCTCAAGTCTAAGAAACACTGTTGTAAAGCAACAACCCTGATGGTTTTAATAATCCGATTCTACTTGGAGGTACACACAGGCAAAGAAGCCAAGCATACTAGCACTGCGGTAATTATCATGGAAGTAACCAAAGTAGATAGGGGCAGATCAGCTTCATAGACATTCTGACACTCGTTCCAGGACCAGAGTATGAATGCCTTTTGGTAGAAGCAGGGGATGAGGAATGTTTCAGAATCAGGGAATGGCACATGAAAAAGAAACATAGAAAAAGAGGTAACATATCTGACAGAGAATTCATGGTTGGTAGAATTGAAATAAAGAGAACATGTGGATGGAATGTTGGCATAGGTAACCAATGGGAAGAAGCAGATTGGAAACCTTGATTGCAAAAAGACTGGCTTATGTGATCAAAGAACTTTGTTTATAGCTTAAACACTAGGAAGCAACCAAACGATGGAATCATAGGTTAAAATTACACAGTAAATGGTTTGTTAGGGTCTTGTGTAAACTGAAAAATTCAGCTTGGTGTCATTCAATAGTGTGATTTCAAGCAGAGAGAGTAGTAAACTGACCTAACATTTAAATGTCCATCAGATTTAACTGCTGGTGGTAACCCAGTCATTTCAAGTTGAGTATGAATCATTGATGACTGAATCAAACTTATAATATGAAAAATCCCCATAGCTTATCTCTTCCCTGTATTTAGTATTGTAACTTATATTGGCTAGGAGGGACAACAAAACATTTGCAGAAATAATGCCATCATACCAAAAACTGTAAGAAATTGTTAGAAATGAGAGAACAAGATGCACTCAAATATGGCCCATGACGGTACAAGGTGACTGTGGGAAATCTCACGTAGAGCAGGCCAGTTCATTTACAAATTACATCAAAAGTAGTGAAAGATGGCTCTGGCAATGTCATTTGGAATTAGATCACAGAAGGCTTTGAACACAAATTACTAGTAGTGGCTGAGTGAGGAGGGCATTCTAGCAATGGAGAGGAAACAGGGTTGGGATCAGATGAGCAACCTAGTGAAGTAACGTATACACACTGGACCCTCTGCCCCAATGTCCACTCTTAGAACTTGACTGAAGAAAAGATTGCAAGAAAGAAAACTCTAAGTTGCTACATAAAGGTAAACAGGGAGATGGTGTTTTCAGGTGTTTATCAGTAACCTACAAAAGCTTACTGATAAATATTAGCACAAGAGAAGGGCAATATTCATCCTGAAGGGCTCTGAAGGGATGAAGATGTAACAAGCTGGAAAGAAATGTAGGATAATCAATGTTGGTATCTAAACAGAATGAATTAACTATTATGCTTACCGAATACTTTTTATTTTCTACTGAGAAAGTCATGATTGCATATAATATGTTTGATCAAATCCATCACCCCTTCTCTCCACTGCAATGTCTTTCCACACACCACCACTTTCCCAATCCAACTTTATGTGCCTTCCTTTTAACTCAGTGTGTCCACTTAGATCTACCAATATGTGCAAAGATATAAGGCCATAGATTAGAGTTTGGGTAACCTACCAGGAACTTTGTTCCTAAAGAAAACTGATTCCCCCTCCCATAGCAGCCATTTGTTGTCAATAACTCCTTAGGGGTGTGACTTCATGAGTCCTCCGCCACCTCTAGCATAATTTTAAAGACTGACTATGTATACGGGCCTTCCTTTTTTGTCTCTTTTTTTTCCATTCATTTATTTAGATCATAAATAAAGTCATGCACAATTATGATATACAATACAGTATGTTCACAATGGCATGGCTAAATTAAACCAATTAACATGTTATATCACACATATTCATCATTTGTGTTTTAAGAACACTTAAAGAATACTATCTCACAACTTTTAAAATATAGCATATTGTTATCAACCATATTTGTCATGCTCTCAGTAGACCTCAGGACTTCAGAGAGTTTGTCAATACATTCTATATCCACATCAATCTTTATTTATTCCTTTTTATTTATTTTATAACAATCTCATGATTACTTAAGTTAAGATGGCACATTAATTTACAAATGTACTTTCTCCTTCTGTGTTATCTTTCCATTGCTATGACAGAACAAATACAAACTTTTTAAAAAATGATGAGGAAAAGGTCATTTAGGTTCCATCTGTCAGAGGTCTCAGTCCATGGCCTACTTGTTCCATTGTTTGTGGTCTATGGCAGGCCAGAACATCATGGTGTGAAGATCATCCTAGAGGAAAGATAGTCACCTAATGGTGTCCCTTAGAGGAAGGGCAGTGACCTTATGGTGTCCCAGAAGAAAGAAAGAGAGGAAGAGAAGGAGAAAGAGGGAAAGTCACC